TTTTTAGGCTTGACTATAAATAAAATATCATATGTCATAGTTTATTGAATTTTCTAATTTTTTGCTTATTTATGATAAAGAGATACTATATTTAGAGGGGAGGTTACACACTTATAAAGGAGAAACAGAACCAATGCTAACTCATAATTAAACACATTCCTTTAATTTGCATGCAATTTTTATCTTAGAATACTTTATTGATAATTGTTTTTTTCTGCTGTGCATTTTAATCACTGTTAGATACTGCTATGTCAGACATTTTCAAAACACATGCAATGTCATTCCTGCTTTAGCATTTTATAATTCAGCTGAGCAAAATTCTTCAGCAATTTTGCTCCTGAAGTATTTAGTTCAAGGTAGTCTGATAGATGATGAGTCTCATTAAGAGTGCATAGGAAGTTTGATAACTTCTAGGTGGGCTGGGCACTCACAGATGATGGAAAAGGTGATATCTAGACATGTAAGACAATTGGTAGGATTCAAAGCATACAAAAAGGAAATAGGTCCAAGTATAAAGTGGTGGAAATAAATACAGTGCATTTGGCAGATGGTAAGGAAACCTGGATTTGTGTGATGAACTGTGTGAGATAAAACTGAGCAGAAACAGGGAAGTTCAGAGGTAAATAACTTTACAGATTTGGGAGTGTGGGAGTGAATTTGGTAAAGTCTATTGAATTTCACTGATGATGTCATTTTCAAGATCTTTAGTTGGAGATACTGCAGTTGGTTCTTAAAAGGGTTTAGTAAACGTAATACAGTGCTGAGGAGAATCAGAGCTGCAGCTAGAGTACAGAGTGTCTTCTGCCTGGAGGTGACAGATAACTCGGGGGTGTATGAGTCATTGCTGGAAAGCAGTGCAGCATCCTTTAGTGGTCACTTATTTAAGATGTGTCTTGATGTTGGCTTTCTTTGACATTTTTCTTACTTGGTATAAGAGGAAAAATAGCATGAGGCAACAACTATTGCAGACTTGAAATGAAGACTATTGATGGTCAGCTGATTGTATTATTCATTTTCTCTTTTGAAAGACTATCCCAGCTATGGCACCTTTCAGTCACCATAATGGCAATATTCACAAAACTACATTGCTGTTCAGTTTCATAAATCTTTTCTGAGTACCTCTTGTGAGGAATACAATGAAGAATAAGATTTTAGGTTTGGTTGGAAGACAGTGTAAGGGAAATGTAATGGCAGATAAAAACCTCAAGCTTTTAACATTGTATTAAAGGTGCAATTGAACATCTTGAATCCTCAATTTTGGAGGTATTTTAGGTGGTACAGGAGGATTTGTAGATGATTCTGAGAGACATATGGGTTCATTTCTACTGTTTTGCCTTATCCAAATGCTTTGCCTGAAGTTTGTTCAAATAGGTGATCAATTTATCAAATGGCAAGCACTTAAGGACTACTAGATGATTCACAATATATTCAGTACTGTGGAATCTTAGGTTTAGAAACCATCTCACTGGAAAATAATAGAACAAAATAAATAGTATCAGGTAATAAAAAGAAAACTGTGGTCCTCCATATGGATTCAGGAACCCTGTATTCCTCACATGGATTCTTATGCATAAAACAAAAGAAAGTTTTGAAATGTATTAAAATAAAAGGAGGACAAGATCTTTGCCATACTCCTAAGGAATGAGTCAGTTGTTATTTAGCTCAATGTTTTATTCAGTGCCTTGATATATTTAGATCCTTTGTGACTTGGAAAAATAGCCCAGATAACAAAGTAGATGTAATTTTGAGTAATACCTTTTTCCCCTTAGGAACATAATTAGATAAGGATTTTTGTATCAACCAACCAGTCATGCCAGATCAGTATCTAACTGCTAGCATTGTTCACCTTGTTTAGTGAACTGTTTCTCTCAGAGCAAATGGCAGCTTTTATAGAGAAATGATGTTATATTCTCAGTCTCACTGTTGTGCTCCCTTTTCTTTCTCTCTTCCTCTCTTCCCACACAGTTTTTGTTTGTTTGTTTGTAAATTTTTTGTGCATGCATTTGTAAGCTAAAGCGTTAAAGCCTGTGGACTGATGAATTTGCCTCAGTGTTTCCAGTTGTCAGTTCTAACCTAATGACCACTGTGATTCCAGTTTCTCATTTGATACAGTGAGCCAGCTACTGTGGTGCTGAGTTTGTGATGGATGCAGAAAGGAGGGAATTAAAATTATTCTCCATTGAGCACTGTGGTACTGAAACTATGACACAGACCCTTGGGATTTGGATGAGGGCCATGTTTATTCCCTAGGACTGGTCAAAATGTGATTATACCAAGATAACCAGGATTCTCTAATATTTCTATACATGGTGGCATTTCTCAGCTGGCTGATTTTTTGTGTACATTTTGCAAATAAAGTTAAATGTCCTATCCACAAGTCATGTGAGGTGTCTAACTGTAATAATAATTCTCTTTGACGAAAGTACAACTTTAGGATATAGTGAGTTTCCTGATCATGGAGACAGTTCTATAAAATGGAGATGACAATTGAAATTGTGTAGCAAATATTTATTTATTGTGAAAGTTCAACAAGATTTGATTTTCACAGCCCAAATTTAATAGTAAACCATGTACTTCAAGAACAAGATGAAAACTCAAATTGACTTCCATGCATATATGAATTTGTTGGGATGAACCCAACTATTATTCATAACTATAAAGCTCTAATAAAAAAGAATAAGATGAAGAATAATGTGAATTGAAACTGTTTTCATTGAGCATATGTGAGAGAGGAAATTAATGTGGCACAGTAAAAATTTGATCATAGGAAAATTTTGGTATTAATAACCTTTAAAGCCTCTCTCTTCTATTCCTAACTTTCTATAACTTGAACTTGTAGATCAAGTCCTGGCACTTGGAATTCCACTGGCAGATTCTAAACTGGATTCTAGTTCAGAACCTCTTCCGTCTCTCCCTTCCATTTTTTGTTTGGCAAAAATCCTTTAGGTTGCAGGTAAAAAAACAACAACAAAAAACTAGCTGCTGAGCTAGATCCCATTAGTAAGATCGATGCCAGACAAATCCTGGATCTGTGAAGACCGCTTAAAGAATTGGTAATCAGCTTATTCAGGGCACAGGGGAAGAGGCTGATGTTGAATACAGGAAGTTAAGGCAGGGAATCTGTATCTGCCTATCTGGTGTTCTGATTGAACAACAGGCAGAGAAGGACAGCACCAAGGACAGCTCTTCAGTGCTGTGATGTGAATCTGAAAAATCCTGCGAGTTGATGTGGAAAAACTAAGGTTCAGGTCCTGGTTCCACCTCTGCCTAGCTAAAATGTCTATAACTGGCACGTAATTTAATTTATGCAATCCTCAGTTTGCATAAGTTTATTCTACATAGTTCTTACGGAGCACATTAAATGGTAAATTACAAATGAAAGTATGTGTCAGTGATACAACTTAAAGATATTAATATTGTTTTCATTAACCTTTCAGTTTGAATCATAGACCTTTACCTAACCTAAGATTGAGTTGTGTTGGAGAAGAAACTAGCACTTTTCCTTAAGTGTGAAATGACAGTTAAATAAACTGATAGAAAAACCAAAATACCACAAACAATTACAAACTTTATTGGTGAGAGAAGAGAGCTACAATTTGCTCTGTACATTGTGGGTTCAGATATAGGTTCTTTTGGTTATTATGCCACATAATTTTCATAACAACTCCATGTACATAGCAGAGTAGAGGAGTCAGTTCCCGTGCTCAGCCCCTGCACTTTATTCCTTCTGTTACTATTAGGGGTAGGGGAGGGGAAGGGATGGCATCTGATATTCAGGGTGATAGAAATCCAAGTGTCAGCTTTCCCAAGAGTAATTTATTCTGAAGGTTTTCCTATGGCAGAAAGAAGGTGATAAGGGTAGAGAGAAAGTGAGGGTAAGAAAGACCTCTAGCTCCAACAATCATTTATCAGAGCTTCCTTGGCAGGAGCTGGAGTTAGATATCAGAGGCCTCTTTAGAAAGAGATGAGCCAAGCTTACTAGGATAACCCAAGTTGCTGCTGACATCACTGTTCCTTAGTCATGGTGGGGATCCTCCACAGTGACTCTCAGCCCAACAGCCAATGAAGGAAATTAAGAACAAAATTGGTTATCAGTGTGAGATAGCTATGTAATATAGTGACGTCTTAGGGAAATACTTCTAACTACCTTTACAGTTAGGATATTTTAAGGGAAAATGAAGTCCTGTGTAATTAGTATTCAACTTTCTTTCCTATCTTCAGTGAAATCAGAGTATTTTTTATTATCCTTAATTTGAATAATTATTTCAGAAAATATCAGCTTATTTTTTATGAACATGAATTACATGTGGAAATAATAATGTGCATGTATTAATTTATAAATATAAAATGTATGATAATAGGAAGTGATTGGTTGCAAAGAAATACCTTTACTATATCTTTCCATATAGTTTGCCTTCTGTATGTGAGGATGTGTAGAGAGCTACAGGGAGCTGTGAAAGATAGGTATTCAAGTCCTTTTATCTGAAGATCAAGTAGACTGATTTCTTTCTTTTTTTTTTTTTTTTTGTTTAATAGTTTGATAGATACTTGTGATGATCTGTTCAATAGCCCACTGAGGAATAAGTTGAAGGAGTAGCAATTTTCTACCTAGGTAGCATTTTAGAGCCATTATTGGAGGGAAATGACTATTATACAATACTGCTCCTTAGAACTTCCATAAGGAAAATATTAGTGATTAGGTATATTTGTATGATGATTTATGTAGCAGAAAGAGCACCAGCAATGAAATAGGAAGATAGAAGTTTAAAATCTTGCTTCAATACCCACAGAAGGTTGTTTTTAAACCCTCTGAAGCACAGTTTCTTACTATGAAAATGGGACTATCCACCTAATTCTGAAAATGATTGTGAGAGTGCATTAAATGATGTTTCTTTTATTTTTTGAACCTTTGATGACAAAATGATGTTTCTGAAAGTGCTTAATTATATCTTTGTAAAAGAAACTATAATAATTTTCTTGTGTTTTTTTTCCCCCTGCAGAAAGTAAGTGAGAAGGTTGGAGGAGCTGAAGGAACCAAGCTAGATGATGACTTCAAAGAGATGGAGAGGGTAAGTCCCCACCACCATGAGTTTCCTTTGCCATAAGTTTTCCACCATTAGAGGGCCAGGGGGAGCTACTCTCTACTGATATCTGAGAACACATTTCATTGTTTTAAAAGATATTTTCCTTTTGAAGTATATTCCAAAATAGGAGATTTAAAGTATCCTGTCATCCCTCAGTGCTATGCTCAGTGAAAGTGGAGTGTCATAATGCTCTACTCCTAGTAGGTCCTATCATCTCTTTTCTACATAAGGGTTATGTGGAGCTGATGGTTGAATGAGGGTAAGGTGGGAAGAAAAGTGGAGAAGGTGGAGAAGGATGTCCCAGATGTTTTGGGGAGAGGCTGAAGGCTGAGTCACTTTCTGACTGTAGAGGACTTTCTGACAGGATGGTGCCATCCAGATCCAGCAGGGTAGATGGAGAGAATGCAGTTTTTGGAGCATATCTGCCTTGGCTCCAACTCCATTTCCACTGCTTGTTGCAAAGTACATTTATTGTTCAGAGTGTGTTTATATATAACATGAGAATACTTATACCCACTTGGAAAATTTTTATTAAGGATTAAGACTAATATAATTAATTTAGGGTTCTGCCTAAAAGATCACAGGTTCTCAATAAATGGAGGTAGAGGTAATGAATAAAATGTCTCATTTCATTTTTCCTGGTGTATAAGCCATATTTTCTCTTTCACTTTTCATAGCAAGTGGTATTTAGGCTTATGACGAAGAGTGTGTATTGTGCAAATATCTTGGGTTTTCAATTGTTGATGGTGATGGATCTAGGAGTACAAATCCTGTACTTGATAAAGACTGTCCCAAGCCTGTATAATACCTGGAAACTACATTTAAGCATTATTAAGAATTTTGTTTCTGTACATTTTTATAAAAAAGCATTTTTTCTTTATATTCTGATTTGCCTATATCAGAAATATTTTAGAGGCCTGAGAGATAGATTTAACTTTTTTTTCATTTTGTCCACATCATTTCCAGTGACTGTCTCAATTTTGCTATTTTTTGTTTGTAAAGTCTTTTTTAAATATTTAATTGATTTTATTTTTTAAATACATGACAGTGGAATGCTTTACAATTCTTATTACACATATAGAACACAATTTTTCATGTCTCTGTTTGTATATAAAGTATATTCACACCAATTCATGTCTCCGTACATGTACTTTGGATAATGGTGTCCATCACATTCCACCATCATTGCTAACCCCCGGCCCCCTCCCATCCCCTCCCACCCCTCTGCCCTATCTAGATTTTGTCTATTTCTCCCATGCTCCCTTCCCTACCCCAGTATGGGTCAGTCACCTTATATCAGAGAAAACATTTGGCATTTGTTTTTTTGGAATTGGTTAACTTTACTTAGCATTATTTTCTCCAACACCATCCATTTACCTGCAAATGCCATGATTTTATTCTCTTTTATTGCTGAATAATATTCCATTGTGTATATATACCACATTTTTAAAATCCATTCATCTGTTGAAGAACATCTAGGTTGGCTCCACAGTTTAGTTATTGTAAATTGTGCCGCTATAAACGTTGATGTGGCTGTGTCCCTGTAGTATGCTGCTGTTTTTTTTTTTTAAATTCCATTAAGAGGTTAACTCGTTGTTTTTATTTGGTTATCAAAAGAACATACAAGTCATTATTCATTACTATATGCTGGGGGGAAAATTTTACATTGAAGGACTATCAGGCTTATTGGTGCAATAAAGATTTACAATAAGCACATCTTTAATTTTTTTTTTCATTTAATCTCTATTGTAAGAAGCCTCATTGTTTTTTTTTTTTTTTATTAGTTGCTCAAGACAATACAATGATCTTGACATATCATACATTTGATTCAAATGGGTTATGCTCTTTTTTAAGTCCTTTGGGTGTAGACCAAGGAGTGGGATAGTTGGGTCAAATGGTGGCTCCATTCCCAGTTTTCCAAGGAATACTGGAAAATACTGCTTTCCATATTGGCTATACTAATTTTCAGTCCCACCAGCAATGTATGAGTATGCCGTTTTCCCCACATCCTCACCAACACTTATTGTTTGTCTTCATAATAGCTGCTATTCTGACTTTAGTGATATCTTAGAGTAATTTTGATTTGCATTTCTCTAATTGCTAGAAATGATGAACATTTTTCCATATATTTGTTAATTGATTGTATATCCTCTTCTGAGAAGTGTCTGTTCAGGTCCTTGGTCCCATTTATGGATTGGGTTATTTGGTTTTTTTTTTTTTTTTTTGGTGCTTAGCTTTTTGAGTTCTTTATATACCCCAGAGATTAGTGCTCTATCTGATGTGTGAGGGGTAAAAAATTGCTCCCAAGATATAGGCTCTCTGTTCACCTCACAGATTGTTTCTTTTGCTGAGAAGAAACTTTTTAGTTTGAGACCATTTCATTTATTGATTCTTGGTTTTAATTCTGGCGCTATATGAGTCTTATTAAGGAAGTTGGGGCCTAATCCCTCATGATGGAGATTAGGGCCTACTTTTTCTTCTATTAGACGCAGAGACTCTGGTTTAATTCCTAGGTCCTTGATCCATTTTGAGTTGAGTTTTGTGCATGGTGAGAGATAGGGGTTTAATTTCATTTTGTTGTATATGGATTTCCAGTTTTCCCAGCACCATTTGTTGAAGAGGCTATCTTTTCTCCAGTGCATGTTTTTGGTGCCGTTGTCTAATATAAGATAGTTGTAATTTTATGGGTTGGTCTCTGTGTCCTCTATTCTGTACCATTGGTCTACCAGTCTGTTTTGGTGCCAATACCATGCTGTTTTTGTTACTATTGCTCTGTAGTATAATTTAAGGTCTGGTATAGTGATGCCACCTGCTTCACTCTTCCTGCTAAGGATTGATTTAGCTATTCTGGGTCTCTTATTTTTCCAGATGAATTTTGTGATTGCTTTTTCTATTTCTATGAGGAATGCCATTGGGATTTTAATCAGAATTGCATTAAATCTGTATAGTGCTTTTGGTAGTATGGTCATTTTGATGATATTAATTCTGCCTCTCCAAGAGCAAGGTACATCTTTCTATCTTCTAAGATCTTTGATTTCTTTCTTTAGGGTCCTGTAGTTTTCATTGTATAGATCTTTCACCTTTTTGGTTAAGTTGATTTCCCAAGTATTTTATTTATTTATTTGTTTGTTTATTTATTTATTTATTTATGAGGCTATTGTAAATAAGGTAGTTTCCCTCATTTCACTTTCTGAGGATTTGTCACTGATATACAGAAATGCCTTTGATTTATGGGTATTGTTTTTATATTCTGCTACTTTGCTGAATTCATTCATTAGTTCTAGAAATTTTCTGGTGGAGCTTTTAGGGTCTTCCAGGTATAGAATCATGTCATCAGCAAATAGTACTAATATAAGTTCTTCTTTTCCTATACACATCCCTTTAATTTCTTTGTCTGTCTAATTGCTCTGGCCAGTGGTTCAAGAACTATGTTAAATAGGAGTGGTGAAAGAGAGCATCCCTCTCTTGTTCCAGTTTTTAGAGGGAAGGCCTTCAATTTTTCTTTATTTAGGATAATGTTGGCCTGGGGCTTAGTGTAGATAGCCTTTGCGATGTTCCCAGCACTGATAAAAATAACCTACTTAAGGTACTGAGACTTCAGCTGTTTGTAAAGTCTTTTTCATTTTTTCTCCTGTTAAGTTCATTGATGAACTCAACAAATATTTGCTTTATGCCTCCAGTGATCCAGGTATGTAGGATACACACAGGATTCCTGAGTGTGTGAAATTCATAGTCTAGTGGAGAATGTCTAATGTACTTTGGACACATGTGACCAGTGTAGAAGGCTAACAAAACCTGATGCTGCAGATGCCTGGCACAGAAGAAACCCACCCACACAGGGTGGGCAGGGAAGATCTTCAAGCTGTTTACATCAAAGGGTGGAGGCTAAATAAGAGTTAGTAGAGCCTAGTGTGTTTCTAGGAAAGGAAAAAAGATGCGAGTAGATAACAGGAGAAAACATTTGAGTTCCTAATATATAAATAATAAGTTGTTAATCAGCAGGGACTAAAATGTCTCTGTTGGTCCCTTTTTTTTTCTTTTTTTTTAATTGGTTATTCAAAACATTACAAAACTCTTGACATATCATATTTCATACATTCGATTCAAGTGGGTTATGAACTACCATTTTTACCCCAAATACAGATTGCAGAATCACATCGATTACACACCCACATTTTTACATTATGGCATATTAGTAACTGTTGTATTATGCTACCTTTCCTAACCTCTACTATCCTCCCTCCCCTCCCCTCCCCTCCCATCTTCTCTCTCTACCCCATCTGTTATAATTTAATTCTTTCCCTTGTTTTTTTTCCCTTCCCCCTCACAACCTCTTATACGTAATTTTATATATCAATGAGGGTCTCCTTCCATTTCCATGCAATTTCCCTTTTCTCTCCCTTTCCCTCCCACCTCATGTCTCTGTTTAATGTTAATCTTTTCCTCCTGCTCTTCCTCCCTGCTCTGTTCTTAATTGCTCTCATTATATCAAAGAAGACATTTGGCATTTGTTTTTTAGGGATTGGCTAGCTTCACTTAGCATAATCTGCTCTAATGCCATCCATTTCCCTGCAAATTCCATGATTTTGTCATTTTTTAGTGCTGCGTAATACTCCATTGGGTATAAATGCCACATTTTTTTTTTATCCATTCATCTATTGAAGGGCATCTGGGTTGGTTCCACAGTCTAGCTATTGTGAATTGTGCTGCTATGAACATCTATGTGGCAGTATCCCTGTAGTACGCCCTTTTAAGGTCTTCAGGGAATAGTCCAAGAAGGGCAATAGCTGGGTCAAATGGTGGTTCCATTCCCAGCTTTCCCAGGAATCCCCATACTGCTTTCCAAATTGGCCGCACCAATTTGCAGTCCCACCAGCAATGTACAAGAGTACCCTTTTCCCCACATCCTCGCCAGCACTTGTTGTTTGACTTCATAATGATTGCTAATCTTACTGGAGTGAGATGGTATCTTAGGGTGGTTTCTC